CTTTTCCCCTCTCACCTTGAAATCGTGACCCCTAGTAATTGAGTCCCCCACTCTGGGAAAAAGTTTCTTGCTATCCACCCTGTCTATACCTCTCATGATTTTGTAGACCTCAATCAGGTCCTCCTCAACCTCTGTCTTTCTAATGTAAATAATCCTAATCTACTCAACCTCTCTTCATAGCTAGTAGCCTGCAAGCTTCCAGTTGCCTGCCAACTCAACATACCATTATGTTCCTACACTAACATTTCTGTCGTAAGCCTGCTGTCGCATTCAAGTGAGCCCCAGCACAAGCTCAAAGAACAACATCTCATTTTACGGTGAAAACAATTCCATTCTTCTCCAACCCATCCTCCACTCTTTGAGGTGAATTGGATTCAGGAGGAGCTCCTGATAACACTCCCCTCACCTTGTGAATCAGACTGTCCTGGTCTGGATCCTGTTTGACATGAACCTACCTCTATCTGTCCCCAAGGAACTGGCCATTCGCGTTCCATGACTTTGAGCAGTTTTGTCAGTCCAGGGGCTGGAGTCCACTCTTTTGAGAGTGTCATCAGTCACTGTACATTAGGCTGAACCTACAAATTTGTTTCTGGCATATCCTTTGGAGCGGAGGCAGTTTTCACTCAGAAACCAGGAACTGGAATCAGAGCAAAAGTAGCAAGCGAAAGACTCCATTTGAGCAGTGACACAAGACACGACATAAACTCATAATCCTGATTTGAGGAGTCTCCCTCTCTATCATCTAAGCTGACCATGCAGTGATGATACAGCCATATCTCTCATCACAGCGAGATCACTCTGGAAATCTAATGGTAGAGAATGGAACTGTCCACCAGAATCCCAAGGCTCCGATGCTTTCCACTCAATCAACAATAATATCAGCCCTGAAATTCCAATTAGCAGGGAGGGGGAAAGAGTTGTTGCCAGCAGCATAGAATGGAGCTGTGTGTTGGGACCAGCAGAAATCCAACGCAGCAGGAATAAATGGAGAAATTTCAATGTTCTTGCAGCTGTTATCCAGCACCTGGAATCCTTTGTGGAAAACCATGTCTGTTTCAGAGTCTGAGATTTCTGATAGCTCGGACTCGCTTCAGCTTAATGCTTACCCAGAAAAAGAAAGAGTCTTAAAACCTGTCCTAACTCCTGTGTAATCATTAAACTGAGCCCTCGGCTTATCAGTAGTCTCTTCAGCTACAACCTCCAAACACCTGACATCCCTGCCCCACTGACATGGCCCCTGTCCCTACAACCTCCAAACCCTTGAACTGCCCCAGTTAGACCCAACAATCCTCCCCACCTCACATCACCAACTGGATACTCCTCATGACCCTGCCATAGCTACAACTCCACCCTCTCACCTCCCACCAAAACACACCCTGTTCCTCCCCCTTCCCACAGAGCACCATGCCAACTACTTGAATGTACAAAAGCCCCTGTCTGCTTTCTAAGCAACTTTATTCATTTTGCTGCTCTTTTACTGTACATGTGCCTTAAGAAACACATGCAGCAGGGTTTGACCAGCTTTCTGCTTCTAACATCATGAAATTGCCACTGTTCTAATTTGTGAAAAGTTTCTCAGGACCCGAGAAAGACAGTTTCACACAGATGTATGCATCAGTTAATACTCAACAGCAGACATCAATTACTGAACTGATCCAAGTGCTGAATCAAACCAGTTTACATCTAACATGGTCAACAGTGACATCTAATCACTGTAGTTGCTCATAAACTTGCTGGCATTTTAGCAGCTTGATAGCTGGGTAAATCCCTTCCCATACTCAGAGCAGGTGAACGGCTTTTCCCCACTGTGTATTCGCTGGTGTCTCAGCAGATTGTATGACTCAGAGAATCCTATCCCACACTCCGAACAGGTAAATGGCCTCTCCCCACTGTGTACTCGCTGGTGTCTCAGCAAGTTGTATGACTCAGAGAATCCTATCCCACACTCCGAACAGGTAAATGGCCTCTCCCTACTGTGTACTCGCTGGTGTCTCAGCAGGTTGTATGACTCGGTGAATCCTAAACCGCACTCAGAGCAGGTGAATGGTCTCTGTCCATTATGAACTCGCTTGTGTGTTAGAAGGTGAGAGGCCTGAATGAATCCCTTCCCACACTCCAAGCAGATGAATGGTCTCTCTCCAGTGTGAATGCGCTGGTGTCTCAACAGATTGGATGATTGAGTGAATCCCTTCCCACACTCGGAGCAGGTGAACAGTCTCTCCCCAGTGTGAACTTGCTGATGTCTAAGCAGATGGGATAGCTGAGTAAATCCCTTCCCACAACTGGAGCAGATGAATGGTCTCTCTCCAGTGTGAACTCGCTGATGTCTCAGTAGTGTGATTGACTGAGTGAATCTCTTTCCACACATGGAGCAGTTAAATGGTTTCTCCCCAGTGTGAACTCGCTGGTGGACAGTGAGTTGAGATGATGTTCTGAATCCAGTCCCACAGTGAGAACACCTGAATGGTCTCTCGTCTGTGTGAACACGTTGATGGGACATCAGGTCCCTGGAACTTTTATAGCACTTCCCACAGTCATGACATTTAAAAGGTCTCTCATCAGTGTGAACATTTTGATGACGCATCAGCTCCCTGGAACTTTTGAAAGACTTCCCGCAGTCATGACATTTAAAAGGTCTCTCCCCAGTGTGAACTCGCTGGTGCCTCAGCAGATTGGATGACCGAGCAAATCCCTTCCCACACATGGTGCAGCTGAATGGCCTCTCCCCTGTGTGACAACGCTGGTGCCTATCCAGAACAGATGGGTAATTGAATCTCATCCCACAGTCCTCACATTTCCATAGTTTCTCTCCATTGAGAACGATGTTTCTTCCTTCCATATTCAAAATCCAATGATATTCAGGTTACAACAAATTGGGTGATGCAGTCAGATGCCGATTTGATGTTAGGCTTCAGTTTCCCAACTTCAAATCCTCCTCTTCAAACAAATAGCCTGTGAAACTGATTTTAAAAAAAAGAGAATGAAAATGAATCCGCAAAGACAGATTATGAAATTGAGCTGAATGAATCTGGTCATTTGGAGGCCTGGCAGTGGTAAAACATAACCACGAAAGCAGCTGCACTGATTTAAAAATACAACTAGTTCAGTAACATCATTCACAGAAGGGAACTGGTCTGGACATAGACCAGACTCAGACCTTCATAGAATGAGTGTGGGGAAGAGAAGGAGAAAGAAAGATTAAAGCGAGTGAATGTGAAGGCCATGACCTCGCAAGTTCCCTTCTGGTCACACACACATTGTCTTCTGTTCTGCCTACAAACTCCACTCCCTCACCAGCAAACTCAGCATTCATCCTGACAACTGAGACTGAACCAAATTCTTCACAACAATGGCAAAATATTTGACCCCTTGGTGAGTGTTTGAACATGTATCTCAATATACCAGTAACATATTCCCTGATCTGCTCTGCTCTGAAAAACTACTGTCCGGAAGAGAAACTACATTTCTGATGTCAGTCAAATCTCTTGTGAACTGCTCTAAAAATATTCACTCTCAGGATTCTATAAAATGAATTTTTGATTATTTTGAACTGAAAACAAGCAAACAGCGTTCAACGTTTACTCTGTCTATTGTAAAACCAACAGCAGAATCAATTCACTTAACACTTCAGGGGTTAGCTGCCACTGCTCTCTGAGCACTGCTGTATTTCAATACTGTTCCTCAAAGGCTCTAACCTTGATTTTATTTCAAGGAAAATCCTTCCCAAAAGTAACCAATGTCTACATGACACTAATTTGAAATCCAAACTCAAAAAATTATATTTATAGATACATATAAATCGTGCACCTCTATAATGTAGAGGTCATCTAACAATCAGCTGTGAAAGGATTGGGGTTAGGATGCAGGGATAGGGGCAGTTCTGGCAGATCAGAAAACAGTAAATGTGATGCCATTGTTTAAAAAAGGAGGTAGACAAAAGGCAGGTAACTGTAAGCCCATTAGCTTAACTTCTGTAGTAGGGAAAATGCTTCAATCTATAATCAAGGAAGAAATAGCAAGACACCTGGATAGAAATTGTCCTATTGGGCAGACGCAACATGGGTTCATGAAAGGCAGGTCATGTTTAACCAATTTACTGGAATTTTTTGAGGACATTACGAGTGCGGTGGACAACAAGGAACCGGTGGATGTGGTGTATCTGGATTTCCAGAAAGCATTCGACAAGGTGCTGCACAAAAGGCTGTTGTGTAAGATAAAGCTGCATGACATTACAGGTAATGTATTAGCATGGACAGAAGATTGGTTAACTAACAGAAAGTAAAGAGTGCTCATAAATGGTTGTTTTTCTGGATGGCTATCAGTAGCTAGTGGTGTGCCTCAGGGATCAGTGTTGGAACCGCAATTGTTTGCAATTTCCATAGACGTTTTAGAGATGGCAACCAAGTGTTAGTGTGTCAAAATTTGCAAATGACACTAAAATGAGTGGTAGAGCAAAGTGTGCAGATGACATCGAAAGTCTGCAGAGGGATATAGATGGATTAAGTGAGTTGGCAAGGATCTAGCAGATTGAATTTAATGTTGGTAGGAACAACAGCAAAATGGACTATTATTTAAAGTGAAAAATGTTACACAGATGGGCCTGGGTGTCCTTGTGTATGAATCACAAATCATTGGTTTGCAGGTGCAAAACGTAATTAAAAAGGCAAATGGAATAATGTCCTTCATTGCGAGAGGAATGTAGAGTTTAAAAGTAGGCAGGTTATGCTGCAGCTATATAGGATGCTGGTGAGGCCACACCTGGAATACTCTGCACAGGTTTGGTCTCCTTACTTGAGAAAGGATGTCCTGGCACTGGAGACAGTGCAGAGGAGGTTCACTAGATTGATTCCGGAATTGAGAGGGTTGATTTATGAGGAGCGCTCGAGTAGACTGGGACTGTACTCGTTGGAATTAGAAGAATGAAGATGCATCTTATAGAAACATAGAAAATTATGAAAGGAATAGATAAGATAGAAGCAGGGAGGTTGTTTCCACTGGTGGGTGAAACTAGAATGAGGAGCCATAGCCTCAAAATAAGGGGGAGCAGATTGAGAATCCAGTTGAAGAGGAATTTCTTTACCCAAAGGGTTGTGAATCTGAGGAACATAGAACATAGAACATAGAACATTACAGAGCAGTACAGGCCCTTCGGCCCGCGATGTTGCGCCGACCTGTGAAACCAATCTAACCTAAACTATTCCATTATCATCCATATGTTTATCCAATGACCATTTAAATGCCCTTAAAGTGGGCGAGTCTACTATTTTTGCAGGCAGGGCATTCCACGCCCTTACTACTCTCTGAGTAAAGAACCTACCTCTGACATCTGTCCTATATCTATTACCCCTCAATTTAAAGCTATGTCCCCTCGTGCTAGCCATCACCATCCGAGGAAAAAGGCTCCCACTGTCCACCCTATCTAATCCTCTGATCATCTTGTATGTCTCTATCAAGTCACATCTTAACCTTCTTCTCTCTAACGAAAACAGCCTCAAGACCCTCAGCCTTTCCTCAGAAGACCTTCCCTCCATACCAGGCAACATCCTGGTAAATCTCCTCTGCACCCTTTCCAATGCTTCCACATCCTTCCTATAATGCGGTGACCAGAACTGTACGCAATACTCCAAGTGCAGCCACACCAGAGTTTTGTACAGCTGCAACATGACCTCATGGCTCCGAAACTCAATCCCTCTACCAATAAAACCTAACATACTGTACGCCTTCTTAACAACGCTATCAACCTGGGTGGCAACTTTCAGTGATCTATGCACATGGACACCGAGATCTCTCTGCTCATCCAACTACCAAGAATCTTACCATTAGCCCAGTACTCTGTATTCCTGTTACTCCTTCCAAAGTGAATCACCTCACACTTTTCCGCATTAAACTCCATATGCCACCTCTCAGCCCAGCTCTGCAGCTTATCTATGTCCCTCTGTAACCTGCAACATCCTTCCACACTATCCACAACTCCACCGACTTTGGTGTCATCCGCAAATTTACTAACCCATCCTTCTACGCCCTCAGCCAGGTCATTTATAAAAATGACAAACAGCAGTGGCCCCAAAACAGATCCTTGAGGTACACCACTAGTAACTGAACTCCAGGATGAACATTTCCCATCAACCACCACCCTCTGTCTTCTTACAGCTCGCCAATTTCTGATCCAAACCGCTAAATCACCCTCAATCCCATGCCTCCGTATTTTCTGCAATAGCCTACCATGGGGAACCTTATCAAACGCTTTACTGAAATCCATATACACCACATCAACCGCTTTACCCTCATCCACCTGTTTGGTCACCTTCTCAAAGAACTCAATAAGGTTTGTGAGGCACGACCTACCCCTCACAAAACCCTGTTGACTATCCCTAATCAAATTATTCCTTTCCAGATGATTATAAATCCTATCTCTTATAATCCTTTCCAACACTTCACCCACAACCGAAGTAAGGCTCACTGGTCTATAATTACCAGGGTTGTCTCTACTCCCCTTCTTGAACAAGGGGACAACATTTGCTAGTCTCCAGTCTTCTGGCACTATTCCTATAGACAATGACGACATAAAGATCAAAGCCAAAGGCTCTGCAATCTCCTCTCTAGCTTCCCAGAGAATCCTAGGATAAATCCCATCCGGCCCAGGGGACTTATCTATTTTCACACCTTCCAGAATTGCTAACACCTCCTCCTTATGAACCTCAATCCCGTCTCGTCTCATAGACTGTATCTCAGTATTCTCCTCAACTACATTGTCTTTTTCCTGTGTGAATACTGATGAAAAATATTCATTTAGCACCTCTCCTATCTCTTTGGACTCCACGCACAACTTCCCACTACTGTCCTTGACTGGCCCCAATCTTACTCTAGTCATTCTTTTATTCCTGACATACCTATAGAAAGCTTTATGGTTTTCCTTGATCCTACCTGCTAAAGACTTCTCATGTCCCCTCCTGGCTCTTCTTCGCTCTCTCTTTAGATCCTTCCTGGCTAACTTGTAACTCTCAAGCGCCCTAACTGAGCCTTCACGCCTCATCTCTACATAAGCCTCCTTCTTCCTCTTGACAAGAGATTCAACTTCTTTAGTAAACCACGGTTCCCTCGCTCGACCACCTCCTCCCTGCCTGACAGGTACATACTTCTCAAGGACACGCAGTAGCTGTTCCTTGAACAAGCTCCACATTTCAATTGTGCCCAGCCCCTGCAGTTTCCTTCTTCATCCTATGCATCCTAAATCTTGCCTCATCGCCTCATAATTGCCTTTCCCCCAGCTATAACTCTTGCCCTGCGGTATATACCAATCCCTTTCCATCACTAAAGTAAACGTAACCGAATTGTGGTCACTATCACCAAAGTGCTCACCTACCTCCAAATCTAACACCTGGCCTGGTTCATTACCCAGTACCAAATCCAATGTGGCCTCGCCTCTTGTTGGCCTATCTACATACTGTGTCAGGAAACCCTCCTGCACACATTGGACAAAAACTGACCCATCTGAAGTATTCGAACTATAGCGTTTCCAGTCAACATTTGGAAAGTTAAAGTCCCCCATAACAACTACCCTGTTACTTTCGCTCCTATCCAGAATCATCTTTGCAATCCTTTCCTCTACATCTCTGGAACTTTTTGGAGGCCTATAGAAAACTCCCAACAGGGTGACCTCTCCTTTCCTGGTTCTAACCTCAGCCCATACTACCTCAGTAGACGAGTTGTCATCAAACGTCCTTTCTGCCACTGTAATACTGTGCTTGACTAACAATGCCACACCTCCCCCTCTTTTACCACCTTCCCTGATCTTATTGAAACATCTGAACCCCGGAAACTGCAACAACCATTCCTGTCCCTGCTTTATCCATGTCTCCGAAATGGCCACAACATCGAAGTCCCAGGTACCAATCCATGCTGCAACCTTATTCCGAATGCTCCTGGCATTGAAGTAGACACACTTC